ACAGTTTGTGCAAATGAAAGATTGAAAATCTTCTTTTTAGATCAAAAAGCTATTATCTGAAAGGTCTGTCTGTATCATCAGGTGCTATACAACTTTCGGGCCAAACTTTAGGCTTATTTGAGGTGGCTGTGTCACACAATCCAGTTGGGTTTCCTGGACAAAGCGTAAAGTGGCTGACAAGCAATGAAATATTACTGTAAATCAGTGTTGGTTACCATGAGCAGAATAGAGGACACTATTAGGCTTGTGCCCTGTGTAATTAAAACTCTTGTTTTCTTTTTCTCTTTGCTGTATTCCATTGTGTCATTTTATTCTATTGAGTCATAGAGACTCTAATTGTGTAGAAGTATAACTTGTAAAGGAATAATGAGGCATACTCTTTTTAGAGGTTTTTGATTCATACTGCTATTTTCTTCTTGCTGCTGATTAGTTTTTATTATTGACTTAGTATTTAGTGTTTGAATTTTATTCGAACATAATTTCTGTTATGATTATAAGTTCCTTCTAAATCTCTTGACCAGAAGTAATTGGACATCCTTCAGAGAAATAATACGCTTGCTTGGCATTGCTTTCTTCACCTTGCCAGAAAAACACTTTATCAAAGGATGCTGTTATAGCCTCCTGTTGTGTTCATTGCCTATCACTTCTGACCTGTGCTCTTGGGAATAAGTTGTCAGTTTGGCAAGTTCCTGCATATCACATTCATTTGTATCCTACATTTATACAGGGCATAATTGATGCTTGGCTTGTACTGGATGCCTTTTATATGCTTTGGAAATGGTTGAGGGAGATCTGATGGGATGGTAAAAATAAAATTGACATTTTTGCCAGCTGACCACAATTTTATTGACTAGAATTTAGAATAGGTTGCTTGTGACCAGAGGTTTCAGAGAAAGCTGGAGCTTAGATAGTGAGAGGAAGTTCTTAAATTGTAATTTGACTTTATAATCATATTTTTTTCTTTCAATTTTTGTAAATACAGTTCATCATTTTGAAAAGTATGGTAAAAAGCATAAGTACTGTATATATAATAAAAGTACAATAACTATATAAGAGCCCCCCCCCCAAAAAAATTGGGAGGGTATAAAAGTCTACTGCAGTTTTAAGGAGGGAAAAAAATTAAACTTCCTTATTCGCTGTTTTTCTTCAAAAGGATATTTGTACAAGTAGAGATCATTTAGTAAGACTACTTCATTAAAGGAATGAATAATATAAGGCAAATGTTAAGGATTCAAGGATTCACTGTTACGTTAATTTTTCAGCAAATGGTATTCACTACGCTCTTAAAAATTATTGATCTAAAGAAATGTAGTGGTAAAAGGTAAAAAAAACCCCAAGAACAACTAATTTTTCAGTGCTTTGGCATAACCAAACACCATAGTGAGACTTTAGAAGCTAAACAGCTGATACAGTTGTTAGTTAAGCATGATGTTTTACTATTTGACGTAATGTTTTACTATTTTATACATCTTGAAGGAAATGCTAGAACCATGATAAAATTAATTAACAAAGGTAGTTATGTAATTTTCCAAATTTTCTCAGAAAGACCAATAAAACCCCAAACTGAATATGGACATTGCCATCTGTAATGATAAAAGTAATATGAACCTGGTTGGACCTTGTGAACAAATCTTTTCAAAACTATAATCAGCAGAAATAGGTTTCCATCTATAATCAAGCCTCTACCAGCTGAATATTTTCCTATTCCTTACTGGTAGTATATATCTATATATTTAAAACGTGAGTGACCAAGAAACGGAAGAAAGGAACAGGAATTGTTTCTGTCTTTTTCAAATGTATAAGATACATTTTAAACATAGATTTGTATAGTAGATATTAATTTCTTAATATCAAGAATGAATGATAATGCTCTAATTCATTGGGAGCATATGCAAAACCAATTAATATTCAAGGTAAGTGTTTGAAACAAGAATAGAATTTTAGGAAGAATAGTAATTTTAATTGTAGTTGTTCTACCAAGCAAAGCTATAACAAAAAATGTTGCCTTAACCACATTTTGTTTTGATATTTCACATAAAGAGAAATCATAATTATGTTCTTTAATTGGTGCCAGTCCTTTGCAATAGTTATTCCTAAAGGCAATAGTTAGCACTAAATGTATTTGTTTATTTTATTTATTTATGAATTTATAGTATACCTTTAATCTATTTTTAATTACTTTTATCGGTGTTTTTGTTTCTAATGATGGAAAACTGCTACAGATTTTTTGGCATCCATGTCACTGAAATAAAGTGTTCTTATCACTAAATAATTTAATTGAATGTTCTAGCATTAACATATTACATATCATTAAGCATAAGTGCATTCTCCTCTACCCATAGCAAAAAGATACTCAGATATCATTGCTTTTCAGCCGGCACGTTTGGGACAGTAATTTCTCCTTTATTACAGACGGAAAATGTCATAGTAAAATCAGGCTTAGGTCAGTTCAACATGCAAATGGCCCAATAAGCCTAATATTGGCAACATTCTAATAAGCATTGAATTTGGGAGAATTGGTGGAATGAAACTCAGTCAAGGCTTTAGTGATAGAAATCGGTATAGTTCACAAAATAGCCAGGACTTTAACAAGGGATCATTTCTTTATGAGTTTGACATTATTTAGTCATTTTGTATAGCCTTTATATTAAAATTCTTATTTTTGTACTTTTTTCTGCATTTCTTTATATCTTCAGTAAATTAATTTGTGAAAATTAATACATATTTGAAATGCATGAAAACCAGAGAGTTTGAGGAGACACTTGATAAGCTCAGGTTCCTGTTAGCAAAAGTAACACAGTGCCTAAAATATTCGTAAACATTTAGGTTTGTTGGAAAATGGATATATGTAGCATGGAAGCATTTTGGCCCTGGGGCATTATTTAACTTGTAGATACTAGAGTAAACAAACCTGATTCAAATTATCTCATATTGGATAGCAGTAGTTCCTGGAAGAGTTCTGTAATTGGTTGCCGCCACTGAGAATTCCAGAAAACCAGAATGATCACACTGTGGGCCACTTCCAAGGATGGAGGCACAAGCAAGCCTTATCAGCTGTTTGTGGGCTAACAGATACTGGCGAGCTAGACTGCTAAGCTGTTTAAGTCTTACAGACTAATACTGTCATCTTGAATTGGGGTGAATTGTTCACAAGTAGCCAATGCAGTTCTTTAAGGATACGTGTATTGGGATGTTTTAACTGTGATTATGATAATACACTTCCAGGAATCCTTGGTAGCATCATTGGTAAACAAATGGAATAAATAAATAATGCCAACCCAAAAGTCATTGTTCTTATCAAAAGACATAGTAATTCTAATTGTGTTTGTAAGATAAATAATATTTATCTTAAATAATTATTGAACAATTAATGGACTTCAAATATTTGGGAGCCACCTTCCTATTTTTCTTTAATAATGGAAGACTAGAACAAAAAACATTGTTTAAACCTCAAAAATGTCTAGTGCAATAAGTTTGGTTTGCTAATTGCAGAAGCAATAATTTTGCCCCTGAAGTAGTAAAACTTTTAAAGGCCAAGGTATTGCGACTTCTGCTGTATAGCACACAGTTTTGCATGTGTCAGAGTTGCAGAATTTTAGAAACAACCCAAACAAGATTTATAAGAACAATGCTTGGCATCCTCTGCTGTTTCTCAAATAGTTTTTCATATACTATATAGAAGCTGGTCTTCCATATATGACACTAGTGTGCTTCCTTGTACAGTTGGTGGTTGAACACTGTGAGAACAGACTACTGGACTAGTTGGGCCAAGGGTCTGACCCAGCAGGGTGCTGCCTATGTTGTTATGTCTTTCCTCAACACAGGCATATTTAAGAATGTGTTGGTTAAGATACTGAATAAAATTAAACTGTATGGAAGGTTCTCTTGCCTCCTTCCTCCCCCCAAATTTTCATTGCCATCTCCATCTTCTCAGAATTCAGCTTCAGTTATCATTGGTACAGAAGACAGGAAAAAGAGAAACAAGACTACGTCTCTTTAGACAGCTTCCTAAATGTCCTTGTCCAAGACATTGTAAGAAAAAGTAGAGCCGGTACACTGGCCTAACTCTTTATACATTGAAAAGTACAGGTAACCCTCATTTACTGACAGTAATTGGGACCAGAACTCCATCGCTAAGTTACATGATCGTAAAGCATGATATCACATGTGAGTTCTAGTCCTACCCTAGGCACAAAGCTAGCTGGTGACTTTGGGCCAGTCACTCTCTCTCTCAGCCCGAGGATAAAGGCAGTGGCAAACCACTTCTGAAAATGTTATCAAGAAGACTGCAGTGACTTTTCCAGGCAATGACCAGGAGTCAATAGTGATGTAAAGGCATAGCCCACCTACCCACCCAATACCTTTAAATGGGAAAATTTTAGAGTTGTTAAGACACTTACATTACTTCTTGATAATACCAGGTAGTTTGTTTTGAAAACTGAATCCATGTATGCTGAGAGGGTAGTTGCATTATGTTCTCAGGTCAGTTTTTGCTTGCACAGGTAAGCAGTGAATTATTCCTGAAGGTGGCCTTGTAGGTGCTTAAAAGGAGTATGTCACTGAATCAGTAAATAATTGGGCAATTATCTGTTTTTGTAAATAGTAGGTTATGTATTCTTCTGATAGATAAACTGTACTGTACTGTGTGTAAAACTTATTGCCTTCATTCTAGACTCTGTTGGATTGCATGTTCATTAGGCCCATGACTAAGTTTCTGGGCTGCCTTCCCCCAATTTTCAAATGTTTACTTCTTTCTAATCATTTAAAATTTTTTGAATAGTTTGCTTCTCATGTTATACACCCTCTGTTTAATGCTCATGTTCCTTTTCTTCAGGCGTTTAGATGCTAATCACATTACAGCTGTTCCAGAAGACAGTTTTGAAGGTCTAATTCAACTACGTCACCTGTGGCTGGACGATAATAGTTTGACTGAAGTTCCAGTTCTTCCACTCAGCAATCTTCCCTCACTGCAGGCTTTAACTTTGGCTCTCAATAAAATAACTGAAATCCCTGACTTTGCATTCAGAAATCTGTCAAGTCTTGTTGTTCTGTAAGTATTTGTATCCTGTCATCTCAGTGATTACTTAAGTATTCAAGGAAAAAAATGGATTTATAACTTCATTACATTTTCATAGGGGAAAAATTTCCATTCTGAGATGTTTTTGGAAGGCAGCCAGGGTGGGAGCAAACCAGGTGTTCACAGGGAGGTCACTCCAAAGGACCAAAAAGAAGCACCACAAAGCTTCAGCCCACCTCATCTCTATAAGATGGGGAACCTCTAATAGTTTCTTCCAAGTAGATCTTGCTGATCCAAGTAGATCAGGCTGATTCCAGTGAGAGAATGCAGTCCTGCAAATAATTTGGCACCAAGCCATGTAGGGCTTTGTTAGTTAGCACTAGCACTTTAAATTGCACCCAGAAGCCTAATAGTAACCAGTGTAGGGCCTGCAGTACTGGTGTAATACCCAAAATGGGTTGCTGTATTCTGAATTAACTGAAGCCTCTGAATAGTTTTTAAAAACAGCCCCATGCACAGTTCATTGCAGAAGACTAAATGGGCGGCATGACTCATTGTAGCAAGGTTCTTTTGCCCCAGGTAGTGCCACAACTGGCACACAACCAAAGCTGGCAAAAAAACCCTGGCTGCAGCTTTCATCTGCTATTCTAGCAGGAGCTGTGAATCCAGAAGGACTTCCAAATCATGGACCTGCTTCTTCAAGAGTAGTGCTACCTTATCAAGATATACCACTAGAGCAGGCAGAGAATCCCAATGGACAAGCAATAACTGTCCTCCTAGGGTTCAGTTTAAGCCTATTCTTTCCTATATAGAGCCTCACAAAACTTCAGCGGTGTCACAGACTGGCCTGGGGTAGCCATGTAAAACTGGGTATCATTAGCCTATCATTACCCCAGTCCTAGTGCCTTTATGTAAAAGTTAAATAGGAGGGGAGAGAAAGCTCATCCCTGTGGCACGCTACAGGGGAATAGCCACCAGGCGAGTCTCCCTTCCCCCCAGCCCAGACTGGAACCACCCACTGTGGAAGGAGTTTCTGGAGAACAACCCACTAAGGCAATGAGAAAAGAGTAATGGTGCCATTATTTATCTTATTGCCAGGAGTAGGCCTGAACATAGGCACATACACATGCTCAGATTTGCTTTCTGTCTTTCTTCACTGGCACTCCAGGTGTTGTTTTTGCCATTTCGCCTCTTCATCTTCTTGGCTTTCATGGGAGCAGCAACAACACGGAGTAATTTATGTAACCTTTCCTGCGATTCTTGTGGCTTGAGGAGAGTCACATTATCAAGTCAGTTTCTATGAAAATCCATTTTAAAGGTGATTTCTGGATTCCTCCATTCTCTTTGTCAGAATTGGAGAGCTGCCTTTTTCACACCTAGAAACTTCATTCTTAAAAAGAAAAATGCAGAGTGGATTTCAGAATACATAGCTTGTTTGTTTTCTACTACCTTGCTTAGCAACCAAAGGGCTTTTATATATTAATACTTTACCACTTAGGATGATCTTTCAAGTGTGATGCATTTTTTGCTCACATCTCAGCTTTTGGGAACAGTGTGGCAAAAAATGATTCACCAGGTAATGGATTCCCCTTTTCTTTTTCAGACATCTCCATAACAATAAAATAAAAACATTGGGCCGACACTGTTTTTATGGATTAAACAACCTAGAAACTTTGTAAGTATCCTGCCTTTGAGGCTGTGTAAGAGGCTATGTATTACAAAAGACTTAATCCCTTCAAATATTGACATTAGGAATTTAAACCATTTGGTTTAGAAATGTGAGGCTTATAATTAGGCATAATTATGCTGTGATTAGCCATATTTACTTACATTTACAAATGTACTTAATGCTTTGTTGTGAAACAGAACTGGTCACAACTTGGTTTGATTTTCTTTTGCAAGTTATTTTGTTGCAGGAATGAGGAAATTTCACAGTCCCTTCAATGTATCTTTTTGTTTTTGTCAGCTGGGCTGGTTTTAGCTTTGTTTTTTTCCTTGTTTTCCAGCCACATTACCAAAAAAAAAAGTATACAGTACAAAGAAAGATAAGACAAAGAGGGAGTGATAGTTGAAAAGAGAGAGGGGGAAAAAAGATACGGTTGTTGCTTTTAGGAGTACAAGCGTGCGACTGCTGACAGTTGTGATTTATGGAATCTATTTTATCTAGCTACCCAAGCATGAGGAGAAGTTATGAAAAATAGATACATATTAGTAAGGTCCAGTGAGCTGACATCAATCTACTATCAATTGGCATTACTAAAGAAGATCGGAGAGATAGAAAAGCTGTAGGTCATGCTTCAGGAACTATCTTAAAGGAATCATTACAGTCAGTCACTTTGTTGGGAAATGGAAGGAAGTAACATTCCCAACAGTAAGTAGGTAGCCCCAGTTTTCTGACTGAGGGGGGCATTCAGAGAGGGAAATGGGCATTACTCTGGAGCATGAAGATCTTTGGCTCCTACCAAGAAGAACTAGTAATTTGATAGTTGAATGTCAGCAGTAGGGTAAGGCAGGTACTGCAGCAATCAAGGACAGATGGGAGGGAGTAATTCTAGTGATTCAGTATACAGATTCTAAAATCTATTAAACTTAATGAGCTAGCTCTGGTATCCAGAGTACAGTGAAAAATTAACACTATCCTATGGGAGGATAAGGTATGTGAAACAAGTGTGTGTCAAGTATATGTGTGCGTGCGTGCATATATGGCATAGTAGGAGACACATAACAAGCTTAAACCAAGAGGATTTAAACAAATTAAAGGATATTAATTGTTTTTTCATAATGGACCACATAATGCAATTGTTTCTGTTCTTTCAAGGGACTTAAATTATAACAGCATGGTGGAATTTCCAGAAGCAATTAGGTCACTTCCAAGCATAAAGGAATTGTGAGTATTATTACATACTCTTATTTTATTTTTTCCAACAAAAAAAAAATGAGAGAGAGAGAGAGAGAGAGAAAGAAATGTTTAGTTTTAGGAATGTTGTGTTTTTCCTCTTGACAAACTAAAATGAATTAAGTTCAAATGGGAATACCATCATAGGATCAACTTAAAATAATCAGTGAGCTGGCTTTTTGGTTTCTCATATTTGGTATTGTTTAGTTGAGTGCCATACAGGTTATTTATTTTTTTAATGAATCAATGTAGCTTCCTTTGCTTTCTGTAATGTGGAGTTATTTATTCTAAATAGAATGTTAAATACAGGATAAAATGATTGGTAGGACTGTGCAGTGCTTATAAAAAATTGCTTTGGAAAGTGTGAGTTGCAAGCATATCACCTGTCTATAGCTCTTTAAAGCAGCTGTGACTTTTCCTGGGATCATGTGGCAGCAGCAACAGAGGGCAGCATCACAATCCCGGAAAAAGACACTACTGCTGTAAAATGTTACAGGCAGGTACTATATTCCAAAGTATCTTTTTGGCATGGAATCCAAAGCATTGCATGGCCTAATTATCAACAATTATGATAATTTCTTTATGGAAAATTACATCAGAGTTATAAATAGAGTTAAGGGAATTTATTGACAATATCTGTTAGAGTTGTGGTTATATCTTCAAGGAAATATAAATCTGTGCATTAAAAAAATGCATTATATTTATATTTTCCTTTAAAAACTTAAAATAGCTTAATAAATAATTTACCTTATTAATAGCTTGTTCTTAATTTTGAAAATAAGACTATAGTATACGTATATGTAATTTTTGAGATCTATGCAGCCATTGACAAAGGAATAGGATGTAGCTTAGTGGCACTGTTTTTCCAAGAATTTTCAGCTTTCTTTCTTAAAATCATCTGGGTTTTTTTGGAAAAAAACAAACAAATCTGAAATGAGTTTACCCAAAATAAATCTACAAGTCCAGTTTGCAAGATATCACATTTTTCTTTAAACAATTTAGCATCAAAATTTGGCTGCTTTTTTTAATCTTCAGATTTTCAAATTTTGCAACTTATTAGAAAATTTTAATTGTTTATTTAAATATTGTGTTCAACAATAATAGTCCTCCCCTTTCAATTTATTTATTTTTTACTCATTTATTTATTCATTCATTCATTCTTACAAATTAGATGTAGAGGGCATAGGGCCTTGAAGGACAGGAAGAAGAGCCGCTACCAAGGCAACTATCAGATAAGCGGAGCTTGAGCCCATTCCAAGAAACTAGTTTGAGTAAATGTCTCAGACAATACTGTCCCTAGTTTACACTAAGTGAAGGCAGGGGGAAGCACATTCAGGCTTGCAAGATTCTGTTACTATAGTTACAATAATAGTCCTGACCTATATGACAGTTGTTTCTTAGTCTGGTCTACCTTATAGATCTGACACTAGGTGTTATCATTTTCAAGAAAAAGGATTATTCTGTAATACTAATAAAAATGCAAGTTTAAAAGAGTGTGGAAAAATAGATGATTATAATTGAGAAAAAAGCAGTTTAAGGAATAAAATAAAATAAAATAAAATAAAATAAAATAAAATAAAATAAGAGTGTATAGCCAGTAAATATCAGAAATGCCATTAGGAACCTGGAGTATTATGAAACATTTCATGCGCAATTTCTGGTCAGAATATGTCTCTATTAAACTTTTAAAATATTTGATTGCCACAATTAGAATCAGTAAACAGGAAAAAAGAGAAATTATAAATAGTATATAATATATTAAGAAAATAATGTACATAGCATATAGACTATGTGAAATTTAGCATAAACTCTGAAGCCCAAATTTTACATATGGCATAATTCCATGTATAAAATTGTAGCCTGAAAAAGACTTATTTACATGACTTTTTTTCTGTTTAATTCTAGATAAATAGATAGCCCCCTCATCAGATCTTTACTAGCCTATCCTGAAGTGAGGATAGTTAATACTGTAGTTAATAAAGTTTCAGAAGTTAAGTTAGTCTGGAAGACACTCTCTCCTGTTAATGCGTCATTTTCTCCATATGTTCAATCTAGAATCTTCATCTGTTCACTGTACTTCATATTTTTTCCTGTCTATGCAAGGCTAGAAATTTCTGGTTTGTCTTAAAGAACAGTTCTCAGAATGTTTAGGGAAGCATCTGGTAGGATTTTAATTATAACAACTCCCATTTTCAAAGAGATTTCATTTCCTTTTAGTTTTAAAATTGCTTCTTTAGTTTTGAAATGTATACATTCTACCAGTATATCATGTTGTGGTTATCTTCATCTTGCTGTTTGAGGTAAGTCTTCTCTATCTCTTTCCAGGTCTTCCTTACCAAATTCTTCTAGTATGCTTCTAAAATTTAGATTATTTTTACACCACTTGGTTTCTAGTGGTTCCAGCTTGGCTTCCAATTGGTTCCATTCTGTTTGTTGAGTAGTTTGGCTAAAGATAATTCTGAATATTCAGTCTTTAATTTTTTAATCTCTTCCGAAATTCAGCTTGAGTTGCCAATCTGTAATACCTGTTTTCCATTTTTGCGTGGAAAATGTACTTGCATTTTCTGGGGTGATTGTTGAAATAACTTACAGAAAGATTATCTTCTAGTAGACAGATCTTGCGTATAAAGAACTTCTGGAATTGTGGAGAAAAGGAAGTGTTTTGCTGCGATTCTTCCTTGGAGAAGTTTTTACTTTGTTTTCTTTTACTCATTTTGAAAAGTAATAAAGCAAATTTAACTAATAAGAGTAAAAAATTGATAAAGGATCATTAGTATTTGATATATGATCACAAAATAGTAAACTATTAATCCAGCCTTTCAATTTGTTTTTAGGGGATTTCACAGCAATTATATTTCCATGATTCCTGATAATGCATTTAGAGGAAACCCACTTTTAAGAACAATGTAAGTTTTTAATTTTAAAAAATAAATTCTGGTTTAATGGATCAAAAAATAAATGTATGAATGATAAAGCTTGCCTTTTTTTTCTCCCTTCAGACATTTGTATGATAACCCTTTATCCTTTGTTGGGAACTCAGCCTTTCAAAATTTATCAGATTTGCATTCCCTGTAAGTAGACTTGTAATTAATCTTAAATTTATTTGTGCTAATTAGTCCTCTAATCCTAAGTGCATATATTTGGATATTCTATTAATTTCAGTAGAATTACTTCTGAGAATCTTTGCTTTAGATTTTGGCCATGGTAGGATCCCATAAATATGGGTAGTTATTTTTTGAAGCAAATGACCCCTGGAACAAGATTAAAATAAATGTATTTCAGATTGTTATGGTAGGTCCAGTTGTATGTAACAAGTTAGTTTAGTAAACAAAGGAAAACTTTTTCAAAGAAGTTGGTAATAGTTTTGCTTAATGTTGCAATACTAGAAAGAAACAAGAGAACATTCAACCTCATAATTATGATAAATGCAGATCAATAAAATCTGTTATGCAAATTGATAATGGATAGTATATTAACCATGGGGTTGCAGTTATAAAGTCATTCAGGAAAGAAAAGGTAGATAGCCCTGTCCAACAATAAAATGACTGATGGAAAAATAAACATTATTGCAGAAGATTCACAGTAGTATTTCTATACTTAAGCAGTAAGTTAGTGGCTGCGCAAAAGCTTTCAGCTGGCCAGTTTCATGAAGACCTAAGCCCTTTTCAGATGTTAAGATGTTAACACAAGGGGGACACCATTGTATCCACTAACTCACTCTCAACTTTACAAATTTAAACTTCCTAATGCTGAATAGGAATATCTTCAATAGCCTTCTTCTTGCTCAGATGAGCTCCAGTAGAAGATTCTGTGTAACTATGAACCATATTTTTCCAGTTTTTATTCATATCAAGGATTCTGCTCATGTTCACGCAGACCCAAACTGAACCCCCTTGCCAGCTTCCCCACTCAGCAGAGGAAAGTTGGAAGTGGGGGTCAGTATACTGTATGCAGTTCCATCTATTTTATTTATATTGTGTATTCTATTTAATTGTGATATAGATAGTTATGTATGTACTGACTGTCAAAATAATTGCGTTTAATTATAGTTGAAACATTTCAGAAATGCTGCAAGCGCCAAAGCAATCTCCCAAAATATTACAAGTTTTCAAGAAGTTGGAGATTTACTGCTAAGATTTACAGAACAAAAAGTCTTTTTGTATTCAATACATACATCATAAAGCTTTCAAGTACTAATTACTTTCAGAACAAGCCTTCATGGAGCAGGCTGGATGAACTTCTCTTTGAACAATACAATTTTTAGCAATTCAACTATAGAAATTCTTTTCATTGATCCCTTGTAATTATGTATTAACTTTTCAAAGGTAGTATTACTGACCATTGTTAACTGTCATTACAAACATAGGGAGATGTATTCTTTATTGTTTTTCTGTACTTCTTTGTGAAAACTCTTCTATTCTTGCTGTGTGTGGGTGTTTAATCTCGCAAAATCACACAGAAGCTGATGGTTTATATATTTTGGTATGTTTGTAAAAACTCATCTTAGTAGCTACACCCTTCAGAAACAAAACACTGAGAGCTTAATCAAGCAAATGCTTGTAATTCTTAGTTATACTGAAATTTGTTTAATTTACAGTGTCTGTTTTATATTACTACTCCATTTGGTTCCAAAATGAAATAATAAAGTGGTTTGTCTTAAACTCTCATATCTTCATTTAATTCAGGAACTGTTTTGATCTGTTACTTGAGTGTCTAAAATAAAATGTAATCATCTTTAGAAGCACTGTGTTTCTTTCATGAGTTCTCTATCCCATGCATTTATGAATAGGAGATAAATGTGTATTTTTAATTTTAGTGATAATTCCACAAAGCTTACAATAAGATGTACATAACAAGAAAATAAATGGTTTAACGGTTACATCATACATTCAGTTTTGCAATAAAGCTGACTTGGAAACTGACCACATTGTCATCTGCAGGATATTAGTATATTCTCAGGAATCCAAGTTCTGGCAAACATAAATAATTCATATTTTCATAATTCATAGTTCATTATAGTTCAATAAAAACAAATTAAAAAAAAAAATTTCCCAGTGGCTTAAATCTGGCATAAGTAAATGTTAGTGAGAAAGAGAAAACCACATCAGTACAAAACACTAACAAAAGAACACTAACAAAACTTCTGTTCCCATAGCATTGATTTTTCTATTGAATAGTGAAGCTGTTATGTATTATATTTCTGTTTCTTCCTCAGAGTCATTCGCGGGGCCAACATGGTGCAACAGTTTCCTAATTTAACGGGAACTATCAGTCTGGAGAGTCTGTAAGTATTTACTGTCAGACTACACAAATGAAATAACTAGTAAAAACAATCCATTTCAGATGCTAATAGGCCCGATTGGCAATATTTGGTTCATAAATAAAAAGCGTATTATTAGTGTGGTTTAAGTTTTGATGGATTGCTACTCCTATGATACCTGACACAATTGAACAGATTGAAAAAAAAAGCTAGATTTTTGTGTGGGTGCTTGTTCAGAAATGTGAGATTTGTAACATTCTGGAAAAGTAGCCATTTTTAAAAAATTCTGTTATCAGTGTTCTCACAGATGTCTACATTTTATTCAACAGAACTTTTACAGGTACCAAAATAAGTAATATTCCCACCAGTCTATGCCAAGAGCAAAAGATACTTCGGACTTTGTAAGTATATAACTTCTGATCCTACTCTATTTTTATAAATAAGGACCATAGTATCAGAAAATCAATTTAATGTTGGCCAGTTTGGTAATAGAGATTTCATTTGGGATATAAAAAGCACTTCAACACCAACCTGTATATAGTTAACCAGTTAAAAAACATACAGACAAACCTTAAGCACCACGTGTGTTATGCATGACTTTTATTCATTTGAATATTATAAGACTAGCTTATAAATTGTAGATTACAGCAAGTCCTGTCCAAATGATATTAGGTGTGCTAGGAAACAGCAAATATCTATGCTGTTTTTGCCATATTTTTCCAAATCTGAATAAAATTATGAGGCTCATGAAACTTAAACTTCTAATTTGTTTTCTATATTTTGCTTAATAAAGAGAGCTTTTAAGAAAATAGTTGATCCTGCAATCTATAATCCCTATTCAGTAGTACATGAATTCATTATTTAACTTATTCCCAGAAAGGATATAATATTATAAAGACTTCTTTACTGTAATCATTTTGTGAATTTCTGCTGAAAGTAACTGCTCTGTGTCTGCGCAGTCCTTCTGCATTAAGTTAAACGGAAAATAATGTCAATTTCTTAAGAAAAAACAACTAGGAAAAATAGTTATAACAATATTATAAGAGAAAAAAAGATGAGTATTAACTTGTTTTGTTGATGAACCCTGAGTCATAACCAAAAAATTTTATATAAATTAAGCTCTTTTTTTGTTGTTGTTGTTTCCCTATCTTATAAGGGATTTGTCTTACAACAATATAAAAGAACTTCCAAGTTTTAAAGGCTGCAGTTCCCTAGAAGAAATGTAAGTAAAGAACACACCAAAACTAATTCATTTGTGATTTTTTGTTTTGTTTGCATATTTGTGGTCGGTTTGGTTGAGACCCTGGTTTGCCATTAGAATAAGACAGCAAATATGGTGCTTGACCAGACTGCATCAGAGCAGCCCCTCCCTCTCACAGACCCACTGCAGCTCTTCAGTTTACTGAAATGCTCAGGGAAAAGCATTAGAGGGGATGCCTAGAGCATCAGCCATATTTGAGTCTGACCAGATACTGGTAACAGCTCATGTTTGAGCCTACACAGTGGGAATTTGCATGGCAAAAAAGAAATATGTTGCTGTTCTTATTGCTGAATTCTGCCCAGTGGCCCTTTGTAAGACAACTTGTTCCCTTTTAAGGAAAGATGATTGCCAAGAACATCAGAAGGGCCACTATGAAGGATTGTCATAGCATTTGATGGATAGAACTTTTCGGATTCAAAGAGCATTGGACTTTAGCTGGACAGTGCCAATGGTTTCACCTTGTGAAGTGATCTGGAATCAATCTGAGTCCCTTATGGGATAGGCCTTTCTGTAGTGCAGTTCCATCACCTCTCAGTTAGATTCCTTCCTCTCATGGTTGGTTAAGGCCTCTTGTGAGGTGTCAGGAGGTTGGATTCAAGCAGTAATCTATGCTTCTTTGAGTGAGGGATATTTCCATTACCTCTGGAATAAGCTGTGGTTTTCCCACTGCTCAAGACATCTTTGCTTGACCTGATTATCTTGAATAATTCTGGTTCAGGTAACCCAGCTCACAGTCACTTATGCCTTAGTCTCTTCCCACTTGGAATACTACGGGGCTGCCCTTGGAAAGCATTCAGAAGCTACAGCTGGTACAAAATTTGGTGGCCCAGGCATTTATGGATATATTCATATATACTCAAGTGACCCTTCTGTTTTGGGTATTACACTGGTTGTTGGTTGGCTTCTACATGTGATTCAAGGCACTGGTTGTCACCTTTAAGGACCTACAATGCTCAGGACCAGGGAAAGTCTTCTACTGTATTTATCTGCCTGTCCAATCAGGTCGAATAGTATCAACTCCTTCTAAGCCCTGTCTTACAGTATGTGACAATGCCATCAGATGGAACCTCAGAAATGGGCATTTTAGATAATTGCTCCCAAATTTTGGAATTGCCTCCCCACAGAGATTCAGTCTGCTCCTTCCCCTTCTGGGCTTCAGAAGAGCAGTTTAGATCTGGTTATAGGCATACCTTGGAGATATTGTGGGTTCAGTTCTAGACCACTGCAATAAAGCGAATACTGCAATAAAGAGAGTTACACAAATGTTTTGGTTTCCCAGTGGATATAAAAGTTATGTTTACACTATACTGTAGTCGATTAAGTGTGCAATAGTGTTATGTCTAAAAAAACAATGTACATTACCTTATTTTAAAAATTTCTTAAGACAACAATGAAGTTTGCCGCATCGGTTGACTCTTCCTTTCACGAAAGATTTTTCTGTAGCATGCAACGCTGTTTGATAAACATAATATCTGCGAAGGGCAATAAAGCTAAGCGCAATAAAACGTATACCTCTATCGTAGCAAGTAAAAGAAGAAGGTATGCTATGGTTGAAAATTTGAATCTTGAGAATATATGTATTCTGGGAGAAGGTTTATCTATCTGGTCACTAAGGGTCAACACAGACTTGACCACATATAATTAATCAAAATTTTTGTTTTAGCGTTTTCTGTAATTTTGATAGTGATTTGATTTATTTTGTGGAAGGTTTTATTTATTTTTGAAGGGCTTTAGTATTAGTGTGGGGGGGGGCGGCTTGGTGATATTTCTGATTGTTAGCTACCCAGAGCTTTGACAAATAAAGAAATAAACATTAATTGGTCTATAATTCATAGCACATGGTTGTACTTAAAACTGCATTCTTTGTTCTTGTGGAAGCTAATGTATTGTAACTATAGTAGTGTTGGAAGCACACAGTACCTTGCATTTTATTTATGTTTCCTAAGTGAAGAACTTCACATATGTCTCTCTTAAATTTAATTCTTTCATTTTCAAACTTTTTCTTTATCTTCAGCAGTCATGTAAGCCATCAAGAGTTGTTAGATTGCAATTGGATATAAATGTAATAAATAAAATAAACAGCTGTTGTTCTAATTATTTTTCCTTTATTTTATTTTGAATGTAACTAAAAAGCCTTTATCATCATTCTTAGCACTCTTCACCAACCTAAGCTTATTCCAAACTGCTGCCTTTCTGACACCACCTCTATACATACAATCTGTGTGCATTCTTCCTTGATGACCTGTCCCTCTTTCCCCCCTTCTGCATATGTCCTTTGATTTTCAGATCCTCACTAAGCTTTTTGGCTTCTTCTGCTGTCTTCCACTTATTACCCATTGTAACTGTTTGTCATTGTGCTTTTAGTATCTCCTTTTTTTTAGGAACTCCTACCTGTTTTGAGCTGCTTTTCCCATTAACTTCTCCTGCCATGGAATCTTACTAAATAAAGAATATATTGATTTGCATATATTAAAATCTACTTTTTAGAAAGTCCAATATATGTATTTAATTACACACAACTTTAGTCTAATGTAAAATGTGAGCCTAGAGTAACTTGTATACTGAGATGGGTGGCATACAAGTTTGATTTAGAAATTAAAAAATAAAATAAAAATCAATAATTTCATCATTACTCGGTGACTATCCTTCAGTGCTCCTGCTATTTCTGCTTCTTCTACTGTTCTTTTCTACTGGTTAATATCAAATCAAGGATCATGTACCTTCCTTAACCCCCAAAGGAGAAAATTATCAGCCACGTAAGTCAGGAATTCCTTGGAAAATGCCACGTTTGCCAGAGTTTCTCTTCCAACAGATAATTAAAAGCTCATCACTGCTGTTTCATACCTCCTTCAGTGACCTGCAGTTTGCTTTTAGAAAGCAGCATGCACATCTTTTTGGTCAAATGGGCAACTGAAGACTAAAAGTAATATTGCTTTTATTTGTTGCTCCAATTATTTTAACCTAGACATTGTCCATAGTATCACCCAAGTTCATTCACTTCAATTTCTGAGCAGATGTGGATACTATTAACATAAAGCACAAGTACTATTCCTTTTCTATAGCTTCTGCTCCACTTGAACAAATTGTACCCTTCAGTTGCTGCATTTCATCCCACTGGATCTGTGTTTTAGGTATCATATTTGCCTTAGTAAGACCAATCTTGTTTATTTCCTATACTGTGAGCATTATGATACAAACATAAAAAACTATGAATTTTGGGAGGCACTTTTTTTTTAATTGAATGATTTAGTAGGACTCAAAACAGCAATGTCTCTACTTCTTTCTACTGTGTAAAATGTATATTTGAGGCACTTACTTCAGGATTTTTATCCCCAACCTCCCACAAGATTCAATTTAAAACCTTCCTAATAAAACTTACCATGTTTTGATCAACTACATTTTATCAGTCCTTGTGAAATGCAACCTCTCTTTTGCCAGCAGTCCATGATCAAGATAACTCAGACAGTAGTCCAGAAAGCAGAATTTTCTTATGAATACCATTTGCAAAGCCACTTGTTAATCTGAAGTATTTTTCTTTCCTGTTTCAATCCCCTTCCATAGACTGGAAGGATGGATGAGAACATGATCTGAGCTACCAGTCCTTGAGCTTCCTCCTCAGGTCTTCATGATAATACAGCTGTAGCTGCTCTTTGTAGTATTATTTCTCCCCACATGGATTAGCAAGAAGCAGTAATTATTAGTGGATTTTATAAGTCTTGAAAATTCCATAAGATCCTTAGTCCATGCTCCTGGAAGACAACAAACTCTATGAGATGATGGGTCCGGTTGGTACATGTTTAGTGGGAAGTAACCACTAGTCACAACTCTTTTCTTTTTCTACTTGTAGGACATAGCTGCATTATTTTGGTTCTTCAGGAATCACTTCATGTCTCCTACTCATTACTGCCTCTTTTTCTTCCTCTGAACGTTCAGAGCCTGTTTCTTCTGCAAAGGCCTCAAAGACGTTTCTGAGTTCCAGGGGCGCAGAATATTTTATGTATTTATTACTTCTGGTTGTCATTATTCACGACATGTTCTCCTTTGTTTGAGTCTGGAGAGTTACTTCTTCTGTCAGTTCCTGTTATAGCACATTCTTTGCTTGATCTAATGATTGTTCATATTCTCTTATTGAGGTGAGGTATTACCTCTCAATGCTCCAGTCTTTGTTCTTTGTTTTTAGGTACTGCTACAAGCGTGCACTGGATGCAAATGTATGCTAAGTTGTTTTCAGGCAGGAACAGAAACTTGCCAAAAGCACTGCAGGTCATGATTACAGAATCATTTCCATTCATTTTCAGTTATGTTACTGAAGCCTCACAAATAAAAGGGTTTTTGTCTTGTTCTCTTTCTCTCTCAGAGATCATTCTTTTGGTTTTTCATGCTGTTTTATAAGCAGTAATTAGTGATAAGTTAATATGTTAAATGGAATGGGAGTCTGTTTCACCAGAATAGAATGCAGTGACACAAATATGCCCTTTCTTGATGAAAATCCTCCCCCATAACTAATTTCTGTATTTCAGATCTTTGCAGCATAATCAGATTGAGGAAATCAAAGAAGATACATTCCAAGGACTAACATCTTTGCATACTCTGTGAGTATACTCTCTTTACAAATGCCTTAATGTTAAGAGAAGTTTGAATGTGAACAGTTGTATTCAGTTTTGGAAGGCAAGCTGCTTATCCAAAGCAAAGCAAAAATCAGTAAAATGGCTGTGGGCTACCTGTCTCAGACTTGGGATGGTACCCACAATACCAGTCAAAATGTACATAAATACTCCCTTTTTTCCACCTTAATATTTTGAATATGTATGTAAGTGCATTTGAATGAAGAAAAAAGAAGTAATAATAGAAAAAAAATCAGATTAGATATTGTCATCTGGATCTATAAAATTTTGTAAATAAGACAGAACAGAAACAAAAGCCTCATTCAGAATCAATCTAAATCCAGACCAGCTCTCCTTACTTGTCTGTTGTCTGTCTGTCTGTCTATCTGTCTATCTAATCTAATCTGTCTAAGTACAACCTTCTTCTTATGCTTTCCTCCCGTTAAAAGTTTTACCTCAGTGCAAATGAATAATCAGTAAACAATATGATATTGTAAAACGTTTTCTTGGACAGGTGGGATCCTAGAGATGTATCTTGTGCAACATATGAGTCCTGATGTTATAGTTCCATGATTTGGTTTCCTTTTAAAAGAAAGTGATTATTATTTGAAATACTACTTCATAAATCACTTTTAACATATTTTGGAATTATGGTAAACACAAATATTTACTTATATTAATTTTAGTATTAATGCACTGGTAGTAGACAAGGTGAGGCTTCTCAGAATAAAGAATAAAAAGCAGCACAGTGCAGAAATTTAAGGCTGAAAGAACTCATATAAGGTGCTGCAAGTTTTTGACAAGTCATTGCAAAACTGGATTATCATTTGGGAGTAAAGATGCTAGATCACAACATGTTAGTTAGTACACAAGCACATGAAAAAATAAACTGCTTTAAGCTTGGCTTTCATCTTTTTGATTATATATTACACATTTTACATGCTGGAAGCCATACTATATATGGTCTTTATAAAAGTTCAAATTTTGGCTTATGTTATAGGTAACTAACCTGCAGGAATATGTGTAATTCTGTATTCTGATCATGGAATATTCTGGTGTGCCCAAGAATGTTCTTTTATGTCCTGGAACTACATCCAGAACACCACAAACATCTTCCTGTTCTAGAAGACTTACTTCCAAAACTGACAAATTATCCCTGGAACATTTGAACTGGCCAAATGTGTCCAAAATAGCTATTTTTTGGCTCACATTTAAAAGCCAGGTCAGGTATTCTGAAACTAAATTTAATTAGCTAAGTGAAATCTGCAAAATAAGTCCAATACACAGAAAACCTATGTTGACTTCTCATGGAATTAGTAAATAATCATTGCTTCTTGACAGAGATTTAAAATGAAAATGGCCCTTGATGCATTTGAATTATAGATTTCTGCACTGAGTGGCCACAGAGAGTCCCAGAGTGCAGGCTTGGAGCAAAAATGCTGAAGCTGATAGGCTTTCCTGACTTTGTAAAGATTAATAACACACACACACACACTTGGGAATCAGGCTCTACAGTATCGATTTCTGTAGAGCAGTGTAGACTAAGATAATATGCAGATGTTACAGGCAAGTTGTTCCATTAAACTAGTAGCATATGGCTTAACCCAATGATGGGAGGCAACCAGCTGAATTAACTTTTTTGTAATCTAACATGTCATGTGAAAAGGAATCTGAATATAAGGATAAACCATGTCCATGAAGGCATTTTCATATACAGAGTGGAGTCTTTTCTAGCAATGACAGCAGCTATTTATATCCCAGGCTTCAAGGTGTAATTCCCTTCTGCTTTAGGCAAGCTGGTGTCCTAGAGAAAAGAGAACAAATAGAATATTACAGCTTCATACTATATGGAACTTAAACGTTTATAGTCCCTAAACTGAAAAGCTTTCCAGTGAATGAAATGTCCTTAAAAGAATTAGGTAAAGAAAATGGTCATGATGACATTGTAAAATATAGATAAGCTCAAGTTATTTATCTGTTAGAAATTTAGTGTGACCTAAAACATAATGTAATCACTGAATTGCAAGCAATGACCATTTGAAAGTGTCAGTGTAAATCACTAACACAATAGTTCTTTTTAAAATTGCAGTGATCTCAGCAGAAACTTGATCCACCAGGTTAACTTGGAAGCATTTACTACGCTGGGTGCTATTACCAACCTGTAAGTAGGCCACTTAGCATAGTGCACATTTCCAGTCTTAAAATATTATAACCCCTTGTTGAAAACCTCTTTTCCACAACATGTTAAAACTATTCATCCTGCATTTAGAAGAAACAAAAATACTATGAAAAGTAGCACCTCATCACATACTTTACTGCACTTTACTGAAAAAGCCCATGGAAACCTAGACTAATATTGGTACCCCCACTTCCTGATCTCATGCAAAGGGAATCTGGATCTCTCGGCGCCTTACAATACCATTGACCATTGTATCCTTCTGCACCGGCTGTGCGAATTGGAAGTGGGAGGCACGGTTTTCCAGTGTTTCTCTCCTTCTCCCACAGCCAGTACCAGTTTGTGTTGGAGATGGAGGGAGAGGTCCAGCCCTAGGCCTCTACAGTGTAGGGTGCCTCAGGACTCTTGACACTCTTCTTTAACATCTATATGAAACTGCTGAGTAAGGTTATCTGTCAGCACAGGGTGTGGTATCATCAGTGTACTGATGATACCCATTTATACATCTCCACTCCTGGCCTGGTAGGTGATGCCATTTCCGTGTTCCCCAGTGCTGGAGGAATGTGTTATGTACCAACTATGCCCATTCCTGGACTGGGAAACCTTGCTCACTGTCACTCATGCCTTGGTCACTTCCCAGTTAAACTATTGCAACAAGCTCTACATAGGGCTGTAGAGTTACAGCTGGTTCAAAATGAGGTAGCTCATGCAGAATTGGGCGCCTCTCGGTTTGCCATGTTACACCATTGCTGTGCAAGCTGCGCTTGGCTCCCAGTTTCTTTCCAGGTGTAATTCAAGGTGCTGGTTATCACCTTTAAAGCCCTACATGGCAGAGGACCAGGTTATTTGCGCGATTGCCTTTCCCTGAAAGTATATGCCCATTCCATTAGATCAGATACACTGGGCATGCTCCAGGTCCCTTCCCTTGAATGTTGCCATCTACTGGGACCTAGGAAGTGTGCTTTTTCAATAGCGTCTCCTGCCCTGGGAAACACCTTTCCCCTTGAGATCCGGTTACCTTCTTAACCTTCCGTAAAGATATGAAGAGCTGGCTTTTCCCCCAGGCCCTGGGACAGTGAAGTCAGAGTCCAGGGATTGAAGAGATTAATAGGCTTAGATATGGATTGGACACCTAGTTTTCCTTCCTTCCTTCCTTCCTTCCTTCCTTCCTTCCTTCCTTCCTTCCTTCCTTCTTTCCTTCCTTCCTTCCTTCTTTCCTTCCTTCCTTCCTTCTTTCCTTCCTTCCTTCCTTCTTTCCTTCCTTCCTTCCTTCTTTCCTTCCTTCCTTCCTTCTTTCCTTCCTTCCTTCCTTCTTTCCTTCCTTCCTTCCTTCTTTCCTTCCTTCCTTCCTTCTTTCCTTCCTTCCTTCCTTCTTTCCTTCCTTCCTTCCTTCCTTCCTTCCTTCCTTCCTTCCTTCCTTCCTTCCTTCGAGTTCTAACTTCTTACTCAAGTTCTTCAGTCTCTAGCAGTTATAAAACTCACATTTTACATTAATTATATACCTCATCCAATATTTGACATTTCCAATTAAATGGTATCTATCTTTTTATTGCTTGTGGTTTGGTTATTGTTGTTAGCTGCCCAGAATTGTGTGCCAAGAGATGGGCAGCCATATAAATCTTTTAAACAATTGAAGCTGTGCAGCTTTTAGTTTTGCAGTGAATTAGGAAGCATACAAAATATTTTCAGTTGTGGTTCCTCTGTAGCATTTTTTGCCCCACGGAATTTCCAGAGCCATCCAGAGTAGATTCTTTATTCTGCATATGGGACAACAAGCTATAAGATTTCTAATGGAAAACTCTAATCGAGTTCTTTCTAATGGAGAATTTTAATCAGCCCATATACAATAGACTTTCCCTTTTTCTCTAAACTACCTATGTGATATCCTCTTATAGTCCTTTTCATACTCCTTACATCCCCATCTAGTGACTGCTGTATTTAGCTGACTGGCTGCATGGGACAGTTATACTTTGCCAGGTTGGCAACACCTGCTGTGTTGTCAGAAATGACAGCCTTTGCTAGCATGGGAAAGCAAAGGAGACTGGTAAATATCATCTGGCTTTGCCTGTTGGATAAGATGCTTGTTGGACAAAATGAATGTATTCATGTTAATGGCAACAGGAAATTTAAAGTCAGTGGAATCCAGTAAAAGAGATCAGGTCCCAATCCTTTCTCAGCCATGCAACTAGGTAGTCTTGTGCTAGCCTTAATCTCTCACCTAAACTTTTTTTTTTGTTATACATATGCCCTTGTAAGCTTCTGGGGGACTACAAATACTATAAACAAAAATTTAGATTGCTGCTTTTAGGATCAGCAGTAGAACCTTTCTCTTATCTAGCCAGTAGAATTGCTTGCTATTTCTTTCATTTTTGTTTTGCATGTTCAACTATTTAGTATCTCCTTTTCCCCTCATATTTATTTTTTTCTCACCATCCTTTTAGAGACTTAAGCTTCAATGCATTGACTTCATTTCCAACTGGAGGTCTGAGTAGATTAAAGCAACTTAAACTGATAGGCAATGGTGAACTCAAAGAAAAATTATCACCAAAGGACTTCATGAATCTCAGGTAAGTCAATAATTAAGTTGGAACCCTCATATTTTAACTATACAGTTGTTCCCTTTAGGTTACACTTGTTTTCCCCAAATCTTGGCTGTTCAGTTAAGATGACAGTGTTTCTTGGCAAGCACTCTTCTTGCATTTTTCATGTTTAGAGGTATGCTGTACAAACCAAATTAATTGAATTGCCACACCAGGAACTGTGACTTAACATAGATTTAGCAACTTGGGGCCACATATGCTTCCCAGCATCTTATTGGGGCTCTTGTAGCATCCTAAGGTCATGGTGCTGAAATTAGGAGGTAAGAAATGGGCAAATTTGGATAGCTCAGGTTTTGGCTAAAAAAAGTGAAAAAATAAGTTGAGAATGGAAATGCAAGCCATCTAGGAGATAAACTCTTCCAATTTCTACCCTTAAAATCCCTGCAGAACTCAGAATCGCCCCCAAACCACTATTCTTTTTTAGTGATGTATCACTGTAAGGCTTCCCATGTTCTGCTTACTAGTAGGAAACTAATCTAATGCTCAATCTGTTGTGAAGTTAAATTGGGGCAAAACTCTTTATCCTTCCATATATATCAAAATTTAAATATAGGCTCATACTGTTTCTGCCTTTCCCAAATCAAACTTTGCCAGCTTAACCCTTCTCCATTGCTTATCCAGCAGCAAGGGAATGAAAGGCTAAATCACCAAATAAATGTGATAAGTATATTTGTGTCTTAAAATATGTATCTCTGAGAAGGGCTGGGATATGGCCTGTTCCAGAAAATATATCCATCTTTTAATAGAACTCATTTTGTGGTTTTAGAAAACTCACCTCTGTTTAGCTGCAAAGAAAGAGAGAAAAATTAGTGGAAAACCATACAGTGAGGAATACTGCAATTAGATTTTGCATTCTTGTTCTTGATTCAGATTGATTATATATGCACAATATTTTGTATACTTAGTGTCCTGTATGGAAAGGAATGTATCTCAGCAGTACCATGCTTGCTTTGCATTTTTTGTCTGTGCGCTTAATTCTTCTCATTTCCAAATTGGGCTGCAAAAGACCTCTGAATTTTTGGGGAGTTGGTGCCAGTGACTAAATTACAATGAACTAGATTGTTATAGGCTGAATTACAAGAAAGCCCTTCCCTCCTTCCTTCCTCCCTCCCTCCCTCCCTCCTCCCTTTTTTAAGAGTTCTAACTTCTTATTCAAGTTCTTCAGTCTCTAGCAGTTATAAAACTCACATTTTACATTAATTATATACCTCATCCAATATTTGACATTTCCAATTAAATGGTATCTATCGGTGAGACTTTTGGTTTGGACATAGAGAAGTGATGCCAGACCAGTATGACCAGTATGAATGGTTTAGCTGTGTCAAAAGGTCTACTACATAACTGACATTTATAATTCACTTTACCTATGTTTCATATTGAAAATCTTAAGATAATATTTATCAGTTTTACCTTCCAAATATAGAGGGAGCAAGTAGGAATCTGTAAACAAATTCCCAGTATATTTTTGGGGAAGTTTGTAATCTACGTATGCTCATAGAACAGTACTCAAAACTGAGTTCTGGCTGATAAAGTAGTACCTGGCATTATAAAGTATTGGCACCAGTATACTCTACTGAGTAGAGCTGCATATTGACTCTGATGTAGTTAAGCTTCTGACCTGTGTGTCCATCATGAAGAAAAAAAAATTACATTTTCCAGTTGGTACTGTATGTAGAATAGGAATGTACAATATATTGGAGAAGGTATCTGGGTGTAGGAGATCACAACTGTTACGATTCTTCAGCTTTTCATCAGGTCTTCATTATTTTAGAGCAAGAAATAATGTATTTTTAATCATGCTTTAATATTTTCCTTATCTTTTTCCTTCATTTCTTACTCAGGGTAAGAAAGAACAATGGTTGACTATAAATATTTAACACTGACATTGTCAGCACAATTATTGGATGCAATGAGGTTACCTACTTTCAAAAGTACAGTGTGACTCCCAACATCCATTGTTTCTGCTCAATCTACTATGGCAAGAAAATAGTATGACAAGTATACACAAGTATATTATACCAAATACATGAACATTCTCAGAAAACAACTTGTATTGAGTTCTCTCCTTGATTAAGGTTGGTTCAGAAGAAATAAAGGATAAGGCTCTGTTGTTAATACCTTTTGTCAGCCCTCCAAGGTAGGCCAGACTTGGAAACCAAAGATACACAAGCTAATACAACTTTTATTATAAGATTATAGTAACAGAATCTTGCAAGTCTGAATGTGCTTCCCCCTTTCCTCCCTTTATCTTCAGGAGAACTAGGGAGGGTTGTGTCTGAGAGACTTTCTCAAATTACACTTCTGCCTCAGATTTCTTTTATTTGATTGTTGTCTTGGTTGTGGCTCTTCTTTTTATTCCTCAAGATTATTCCTTCTGCCCATTATACCTTTTCTATGGAAGACTCATTTTGGAGAAGCCCAGCAGGCTAGATGTATTCACACTATTTGGAAACTGGTCAATGGATTTTTATTCCAGCTAACAGAGAAAGAGGGATTTATTAGCTGATCTAATATCCTATTTCTTTTAGCAGTGATAACTTTTTACTGTTCTAATAGTGGTGTTTTTCATTGTTATATGTTTAAGGTTAATTGGAATTATTAGTTTTTTATAGCTGTAAGCAATATGACAGGACATAATTAAAAATAATATAAAATATGGGTCTAACCTGTTCTGAATGCATAAATATTTCTGGCATTCCTTGAATTAGTTAAGAGAGAGGCACATTGTAGGAAATCCAGACTTGCAGCATGCAGAATTTCATGTAACCTGAGAGAACAATAAGGATGACAGATGTGGGCTTAGTGTTGTGCTTTCCTGGGAATTCACTTGCGCAAGGGTGTTGCTCTCCAGCCAACTTGATGAATGTTCATTTCAATGTGCACAGGTAACAACATGATTTCACAAAACACCTTGCTTGCCTAAAGATAACAACATTGTAACATAATGTTGGATTACAATCAGATGAGTTTTTCTTAACTTTTAGCTTATATAAATCTGGATTCTATCCTTTTTCTTTAACATAAAATCAACCTTTAGGAAATCTCAACATTAATTTTAACCTCAAGATTTTCTTAGAACATATTTTGAAACACAAAAACAAATCTCTGCTTCAAGAAATGCTGCTGCTTAAAGAGGAGAGGGGGGAAACCCATATCAGTTAGTTCTCCTGTTAAAAGCCAAATTGGTGGTGAATAAGACCTACCTTGTCAGTTATGTGATCTGGGGTGAAAATATGGACCTGGTATGTGTGACAGATACCTGGTTGGGTGAGCTGGACAGTGTAATCTAATCCCAGATATTCCTACCTGGTTTCTGTGTTCTAAAGCAGAACTGTGAAGTGGGTCTGGGGGAGGGGGGAGTTGCCATCATTGTAAAGGATTCCCATTCCATTCTCATGACAAGGCCTAAAGTGACATAGGCTAAGGGTTCTTTGAGTGTGTGTACCTAGAGCAGAGTGAGCAAAACAGGACAGGAATCCTGATGGTGTACTAGATATCCTGCTGCTCGGAAGCTTTCCTATTTGAGCTAGTAGTGCTGGTCTTAGAGGTGGTGTTGAGTCTCAACTTGGTACTCAAGAGATTTCAATTTTCAGCCTGTTGAATGCAGCTTAGTTCATGGTCACTGTGACTTCCCTTGGCCTATTTCAGATAATATCTGTCCCCACTTCTCTGTCAGGGAACATTTTGGACTAGGTCTTCTGCACTGAGGAAGGTATTCCATGGGTGGATGAGCCTGTAGTTACCCCCTTGTCATGAACCCCTTTATCATGGATGGACTAATTATAAGGGCCCATCAGTTATGGCTTTCGGATCCTATGGCATTCCAGAATTTGCTCATTATTCCATAGCTTTCAGTTGAGGCCTTTGGTAGCAGGCTGGAATGACCAACTAAGGCTATTGACTAACTGACTCCTAAATACTTTGTGACTCTTCATCATAACTGCTAATCTCCTTGGTTTAGTGAAGAACTGTGGGTGGTGAAGCAGACAAGCATATGGCTAGGCTACCAGTGGCAGAAATCTAAAAGCTAATATGACCAATTGCAGTATAACATGTTTTGGAAGGCCTACACTATGCAAGGAGGGAGGGAAAAAAAGGTTTTTCTTTGCTACTGTTGAGTTGCAGAAAATCACCCAAGGAAGCTCTTCTGGTGGTATGGGTGCTGACATAACCCAAGAGGGTTGTGGAAGACCTCTTAGAGTCTTTGGTGGCTAACCATGAAAACCTCATGATTTTTTTTCTCTGAGAATATTATTCACATCTGCCAGCAGTTTGGCAACGTGACTAGTGGAAGCATGAGGGAGGAGGTCCGCATACTTGATTGTCCAGTTTTATTGAACCTATTTAACTCTTGTGCATCTTCTGGCCGTGATTAGCATGCTTGGAGGAGTTTTGGGCCACCACATGTTCTATAAATCTAGCTTCTCCTTGGCTACTGGCCAGAACAGATCTATGGAGGAAATGTTACGATTTATTATTAAAACCTTCCTCAATTGAGATGATGCCATTTATTTTGAAGCAGGCAGTGATACACTTTCTGTTGAAAAAACAAGTCAGTAGACCCCCCTCTTTTTAAAATTATGGGCCAGGTTTTAACTTATTTTTTCTGGCCAAGGTGGCGTGAGTAGGTGTTGGTGAACATCTCCAGGCATTTCAGATGAAACTGACTTTCCAGATCTTTTTCAGTCTGGTTTCACTCTTGTTTGTTTATTATAACAATTTGTTTAGTGCCTACTCATTGGATCCTAAGCAGCTTACAGTATTAAAATTATAACATTGCAATGTAGTAGTAAATGAGAGAGAAACTCCTTCCTCTACTGCTGTTGATTACTGAGAACCCTCCCTTCTGAAGACCCAAAAAAACCCTTGTTTTTATCCTCTTCCCCATTAACAAAAGTGTGGAAGTCATCTGACTGCAGAGGCAGAGTATTCCATAGTGAGGGGGCTGCTGTTAAGAGGGCCATCTTATGAACCCCTTGCTCTTTTGATCTTGGGGTGGAACTGTTACTTACATGTCTTCTCTGGCTGGATTCCCCTTGTAGCAGATGGTCCCAAAGGTAATGAGGGTGCAAACTATATAAGCTAATGGATGGGCTGTTAATGCAACTGTGCCACTGGATAATGTACCCTTTGTGCTCTGGAATCGTTTGGCAGCTTTTGGCACCATTGATATTATGCTACCATAGTGTCCTTATAGATCACCTTCATGACCTGAGAATCAGGGGCACAGCTTTTCACTTCCTATCTTGAGGGTAGGTTCCAGAAGGTAGTCTTAGATGATTGCTACCCAACCCATCAGTCTTTGAGTATGGGAAGCTACAAGGTTCCATTCTGTGAGTCCCCCCACCCACTTCTGTCCCCCACTTTTAATATCTTTCACTAAACTGCAAAGTGTGGTAGAGGAAGCAAAGTATCTGGATCTTTTTCAGTCAAATTCAGACCTGAGCATGGGACAGTACCCAGACTGGTTGTGCTGGTAGATTATATGTTTCTTCTCTTCACACATTTCCTATTACTAGTTTTGTATCATTGTATGAAGGAGCTGAACATGTACACACGAACTTTTCAAGTCTTGGAAGCAGTCAAAAACAGTTTAAATTGCTTTGAGGAAGTAAGATGGGCAAAATATGCATTCTCAAAATGTGCACATAACCATATTTAAGTGCATATGTCATCACATAATTAAGGTAAAAATACCAAATTATCTAAATTGGACAGCCTGTTAGCTGAGTCTTTTGCCTTCAAATTCTCCATTTTGTTAGAGATTGGTTGACCCTTGGTATCAGGAAAAAGAACACTGCAGCAAATTCTCTCCGGTTATGTTGTGTTTTTACTGGGTTTGGTAGAAATTCTACAACAGTATCTACAGTATCTTGATGATACCCAGCTATACATGTATACCCTGGGTTTGCAGTAGAAGTCCTGACATGATGCATGGAGGGTGTCAGGATCTGGATGGGAGAAAAAAGTTAAAAGATGAATTCCAGCAGGACAGAGGTACTGTTTGTCCAGAAACTGTCTAGCATCCTATCTTCTCCAGTGGTGACTCTGAATGGATAGCACACTACCTGAAGGAGCAGGTTCACAACTTGGAGGTTCTCCTAGGCCCACAGCTAGTGCTAGACAGGCAGGTGGAAGCTGTATCCAGGGAGGCCTTTGCCCAACTTTAGCCGATGTACCAGTTGTGGGTTTTCCTGAAGAGGGAGGTCCAAGTGACATTGACTCACACCCTTATCACCTCTTGTATAGACTAGTGCAACAGTCTGTACATGAGATTATTGGGAAATTAAGATCTTGGTTGTTGTTATTATTTGATAGCTTATATTTTAATGATATTATCACTGAATATATGATGTGTGTGTGTGTGAATATATTATATATAATGCTATTTAAAGTAGTGCTTGTTGATGATTGGTGTTTTAAGTGTTATCCATCACAAGTCCTTTCAGAGTGTGGCAGCATAGAAATATAGTAGTGAAATAAATAATTAGTTAAGCTTTTTTTTCCTATTGGGAAGACTTCAACCAGATGGAAGAGACTCTGCTCTAAATGTGGTTATATTCTCCCAAAGGGCCAGGTATGCAGTTTGGAGGTTCTCTTTGACCTTGCATTGTCTCTGAATGTCTATGCTAGTGTGATTTTAAGCAGCCCCTATTTTTAGCTGTGATTGATTTACCACCCACATCTCTTACTGGAAAAGTCTGGCCCAGCCACTATGACCATCAATGGCTACTTTCCTGATAAGTTACTATAATGTACTGTACTGGGGGATGCCCTCAAAGGAACCTCAGGAATTGCAGCAGGTTCGGAATGTGACAGCCAGGTCCTGGTCAGATATCCTGGCTCGAGCATATTATTTGGGCAAAATTGTACTGGCTTCCTGTAGATTTTTGAGTCAAATTCAGGATGCTTCTTTTAACATATAAACAGCTTTGGCCATTTACCTGCGTGGGGAGCTTTCCAGTATATTAGAGACTGGGAACGATGATCATTCTCAAAGATTTTATTTCCAGGTGCTGACACAGAAGGAGGTATGCCTGGTAACAATTAGGTTGGGGCCTTTTCAGTGATGGCACCAGCCTCATGGGACACTTTCACATTAGAAGTTTGGTCCACTTCCTCTTTAGTCATCTTCAATAATTAGTTAAGAACATATTTTTCAATATTAATCTTCCTCCCCTAATAATGTTTTGTGTTTTAACTGTAGTTGGGTTTTTTTATTCTATAAAATTGAAATTATGCCTTTTATTGTGGGCATATAGCTATGAAGTCCTTGTTGTTGTTTTATTTTTATTACTGTGATTTTATTGTAACTTGAATGTATACTGCTATGTGCCACAAGATACAACTATGTTA